CTTGCTGGGGTTAAGTATAAGTTTCTTTTTTGTTTCCATTTTCTTTTTCGTTTCCATTTTCTTTTAAATTTCGTCGTTGCTCACGTGTTCGGTCCATGGTATCCTCAGCACCTTACTGTAGGACCACATTTCTGTTGCTTCACTTACTGAGCTCAGATACAATGTGCAAAGTTTCAGGAAATAAAACCAGAAGCATTTCTTGAAAATTTCGTTTTTGTATCAGAGTTTCAAGGACCCAGTTGTACCATCCATTTTTGTAGCAATATAGAAGACCGGTTCTATGAAAAGAGAATATAATTTATGCGCCATGACCGTTAAAAAGAAGAAGACAGAGATAAATAGTGTGAAAAACAAAGAGATAAAATACGAGAATATTTGATGTTCCTAGCTAGGAAAAGAATTCTTCCCCTAGATCCCTAAATTTGGCAAATATCTATCTTCGGCCTGAGACTTCATGGCACTTGGCTATTTATCGATTCCACAGTCTTGCAGAGATTCACAACCTTTCAGTTCGTGGATATCCGACGGGATTCTTCAACATGCCGATCAGAGACCAGCCCGTTTATAGCGCATTCGGAATAATTGTTGCCTCTGGAGAACTTTCTTGTCTGAAATATTAGCCAGCGGGTGGGATTGGTTACGCATAATTCTTACTTTAATTTGCAAAGATTTAAACAAGGAGATGTTTGTTGGCCTAAGGGAATGGAACAGAATGGGTGGCGGGGTAAGAATCTATTAAATCACTTTTACTTAGGTATTTTATTTATTTATTTTTATGTAAAAATTTCAGCACAAGCAAGGCGATAATGCCACTAAGACGCAAGGGGTAACTGAGAAAGTTTTGAAAAAGGTATTTACGCAGATGACACTACCATTTACTAAGAAAAAAATATATTTAAAAAATAGACGGGATTTATATTTTATATTTAAATTAAAGGGAGATTAATGGTTTTATTTTATATTTAGAATAAGCGGAGATTAAAATATGTTTTTTTTTAAATTTTGTATTAAAATAAACGGACCCATAAGTCTGAAATAAGAAAATAGTACAATTATTTTTTTTATAAAAACGGTAATCCTGGTATAACTGCGGCAACATTGCGTTAACCAGGTAATGTTTATTAAAATTAAATTATGTAACGGTCAGTCTCTACGTAGCACTTGAAGATTGCGCTGTGCGTGAAACTCCGAGTCGTGCTATCGGTGAGGAAAAAATGTAGGTTTATTAATATATACTTAATAACTCAGATATATTACATCGAGTACTATTTTATTAACACCAGGAAACAATGTGAGATCTCTCTCTCTCTCTCTCTCTCTCTCTCTATATATATATATATATATATATATATATATATATATATATATATATATATATACCCGAATGTAATGAGAACGAAAATAATATATTAATTCAAACGTTCACAGCTTTAATTCAAAAGCGGGTTCAATATCGATAGTAGAGCAATAATTATTTATTATAATTTTCTCATATAGACAAAAACAATTTACTCACTACAAAGATGCAACTTCGTTTCGGTGCATTTAGTTGCACTTCGACTGGTGAGAACCAAAATGGTTATGACCAATTTATGTTTGAAAGCAGGCCGCACGTGAAACGTCACTTCCTTTTTTTTTTCAATTTGTTTGAAAAAAAAATCAGGTCGAGCCATCACTGTAAAACCTCAACAATCCTCCAACAAACTGATATCAACAAACACTATTGTTTCACCCTTTTACCTTTCCTAATTTTTCTTTATTGTTATACGTTCCCTCTTAAAATGCACGTATTATTTCACAATGTACTCTGTTCGGAAAATAAAAGACCCTTATGACTCTAGAAACATACACACAACCGATACACCCAGTTAAAAAGAAAAAATAAACTAATCCTTGATAATGGCTAAATGTGTAAAAGAAAGCGCTCGGAAATAAAGAACATTTGGACAGTCTCTATACACTCTGTGTCCAGAAAAGAAAACACTTGTTTAAACACAAGAAAAATTAAATAAAAATCTTAACCGTAGTACCCTGTCTGTCGTCTTTAACGAAATATGTATAAAAGAGAGGGTTGCTTTCTAAATATACAATCATATATACCGTGGATAACGTCTCAGATTGAGGAATCGGATAGCTAATACCCTTGGGAAAGGTATTAATCCTCTTCTTCTCCCTCCAGTTATGGGTAAGTAGCAGGACGCACAGGATTCTATAGCCTTGGATGGCAACTGGTTTTGAATTCAGAGTTATCCTTCTTCTAGACCAGTTGCCACCCAAGACTATAGAAACCAGTCGGTCCTGCTATTTACCCATAACTGGGGGGAGAAGAAGAGGATTCACACTTTTCCCAAGGGTATTTGCACGTGATATATACGTGCTAATACCCTTGGGAAAGGTGTGAATCCTATATATATATATATATATATATATATATATATATATATATATATAATGTCTGGCTACTCGTTTCTAGCACATCAATATGTCAGGGCAAGTCGCTGACGTCTGCTCAACCAACAGAACCGGTTTATACTGCAACTAGGCTGAGCGGACCATAGTCGCAGTTTCTGGAAGGTAACACATAATCCGGTATGGTCAGCAGCTTGAACAAAACCAGTACACTGAAACCCTCGGTCACGATGACATACAAGTCGAGTTCCGTCTATCCAGTTACACTCACATCGCTTGGGTTAATCCGTGTCATGGTTTCCAGTCACCTTCTAAAATGCTGCGCGTTGGGATCGTCTTCACAGGCCACAAAATTATCAAGAAGTCACCTCGCTGAAATATTGACTATAGCAAAAAAAAAAAAAATAAAATAAAATAAAAATATGGTGCCATTTTCTCATGCTCAGAAAGCGAACGTGTATATACAAAAGAACACCTAGAACCCGAAGGGTTCGGGTTGGTCTTGCTGTTTGAAAAACGGTTTACAATGTCGAAGATTGCAAGTCTTAACCATTAGGCTTGTGTTTGCAAATCTTTTTTAGGTGGTTGTTGTACAGATATAATTTATGCATATCATCGATCATTTCACCACAATCAAGGCGGGAATGCGACGAGTTAGAAGGGGGCTACAGGTAATGAAGGTAGGAGAAAAAATTATATATATATATACATTATGAAATGGACAAAGTCCGACAAATAATTAAGACATTTTTTTATATTTATACGTTCTTTTTATAGATACAAGTATTTAAGTAAATGCTCTGTTTATAATAAACAGTATTAAACAACATTTACCGGCTTGAATGTCCGATAAATTTTCATAGAAAATATGCATCCCCCGACAGGAATCGAACCTGTATCCAATACGGAACCGTCATATAGCCTGACGTGCCTTAACCGATTGGGCCAAAGAGGAGCGTTTGGTTAGTAAGGTCGATTTTACTGTTTTTAAACACAATTCTCCATGATTTTCTCTTATTCATTCAATTCGTATCCAGTGTAAACCAATAACGTCATACATTATGAAATGGTCAAAGTCCGACAAATATTTAAGACATTTTTTTTAATATTTTATACGTTCTTTTTATACATACAAATATTTAAGTAAACGTTCTGTTTATAATAAATGATTTCACTGGGTTATTTTTCAACCTTGCTAAACGAACACTCCTCTGTGGCCTAAAACAGCATTTACTTAAATATCTGTATCTATATAAAGAACTTATAAACATAACAAATGCCATATATATATATATATATATATATATATATATATATATATATATATATATATATATATATATATATATATATATATATAACCTTCCGTGTATTGATGTTAAAGGATGAGAGAAATGTGTTTATAAAGGACTCATCTGATGATGGCGATTCTTGTGTGTGTGTGTGTGTGTGTGTGTAAAAATATAGAAAAATAGGAAAGAACTCGTTAGGTAAATAATCCAAAGTTCTTTAGTATTTTTGTTATTTTTATGTAGCGATGGAATCATATTTTTAAATAAATAATTATATATATATATATACATATACATATATATATATATATATATATATATGTCTGTGTGTGTGACCTTTATTTCAATCCTTCATGCTTTTCGATCCTTAGCTATGATCAATTAATGATGAACATGTCATTTTTGTTTATGATCGATTTAATCACGATTATTCCGTTAAGCTTGTAGAGTAAATATACATTCTTGCTCAAAGTAGAATCTGATAGTGTTATAAAAACCTCGGAGAATTCCAGTCAGATATCTTTAATCATTTCCAAGATAAAAGGTTCAAATTTTCATCTAATAAATGGACAATTTTGCTCATACACGATTTGGACAATTTTACTGTAACTATTTCCTAACTTGTGGAAGTTAAGTCAGTCAAAATATGGGCAACATTCATGACATTTAAAAACTTGGTAAAATCAATGACATCCTTGCTCTTGTATATAAACACATGCAACAAAATACATTAGAGGATGAAATAATAGTTTTGCCTCGTCTTTTTATCCATGTTTTTCCTTCACAGTTAATACACTCTATCTGAAAATATTTTACACACACACACGCACGCACACACACACACACACACACACACATATATATATATATATATATATATATATATATATATATACATATATATAATTTAAGCAAATCTGGCTTAATTTGTCACTAAACCCAAATACCAAGGTAGGTATCGAGGATTGAACGTAAAAAAAAAACAATTATGTGTCACTCTTTCCAGCCTGTTTCTCTTCTTCTATTTTACTAATCTTTTGTCTTTATTCTGTGCCATTGTTTTTCAATGTCTGTGTCGATCAGGGCTTTGACCGACTCGTTCACTAGGCTAGACAACGTGTCAGTCTCTGATTAGTCCGAAATGACACACCTTCCGCTTCGACATCTCTGTCTTTCGGCTTTCATATTATACTCACACGTCTCGACCAGAATTACATTTTTTTTTCCTTTTTCTTTCTTTTTTTTTTTTTTTTTTTTTCGTTTTTGTCTTAAGATTATTTATCTTGACACTCGCGTTACCATACAGAAAATGACAAAGAAAGCGAAAATAGTGACGTGAAGAATATTCTCGTCCGGGCGTGACTGCCGGCGTGGTGTGGGGGTGGTGGGGGTGAGCCTAAAAGAAGAAGTTATTTTTATCGTATTAACTTGACCGACAGATCGAGAGAGGGGTAATAGTTATTTTTGTCTGTATTTCTAGCCTGGTCGCGAAGATGAACACTTACAAAAAGAAAATCGCCAAGTAAACAATAATGACGAAAGAAAATTACGAAAAATATTTTTGATAAATAAGGCATTTTTGATAAGGTACTGCGGTGCGTCGCTAATAGTGGAGTTAGAATGCATTTAAACATGTGTTCGCCAGTACAGAATGTTGACCATGTTTACCGCAGTCTCTGAATATGGAATCCAGTGAAGTCCATAATCTGTTCGATATCAGAGGTCGGCAATGAAGATTCAGAGAAAGTAGCGGTTGTTAAGTAATTCTTTAAGTCTTCGATATCAGGTTGGCACTACAGAAAATTTGGGAGAAAAAAATGGCTGCCTTTATACACGTCGCATTGAATATTTTGAGCTTTCTGATTGGTTAACCCTTCTATTGGTGAAGTATAAAATGAGTCAGCTCATTTAGGCTAGCTCACTAATACATATATCCAAAAAACTGCAACACAGAATGCAGCAGAAATAACTCCCACATATACCACCCAGAAATACCTCCCATATAGTGGTAAAACATTAGTGACAATGGTGTTTTCACTAAGAGTACGGTTTTATAGACTACGCAAAGGAATTCGACAAAGTACGCCACAACGATCTGTTGGAACTGCTCAGCAATCTTGATATATTCGGGAAAGATATTAGAATCTTCAAGAACCTATACTAGCAGCAAACGGCATGCATGCGCATAGAGAATGAGTCCAGCAGTTATACAAAAATAGAAAGAGGCGTAAGGCAAGGATGTGTCTTCTCACCGGACTTATTCAACTTATACAGCGAGACAATTCTGAGAGAATTGGAAATCCTACCGGGATTCAGCATCGGCGGCTACAATCTTAACAACATAAGATACGCAGATGACACAGTACTGATAGCAGACATGGAAAGGAAATTACAAAACCCTCTACAGAAGGTATCGAAGGAGAGCAAGAAGAAAGGACTAAGTATAAACTACAAGAAGACAGAATGCATGGTTATCAGTAAAAAGATGAGACAAAAATTGGGTCTTTTTTTCTTTTTATGTGCCATGTCCTGCTGATAATCCCACGGACGGAACATGTTAGTAACGAGAAAGATTTTTTTTGTTGTTAGAATGAAAAGCCATTCGTGATAGAGGGTTATAGAGTAAGAGGCGCAGTTTATAGGCATAGTTCAGATGAGCTCTTCGCTATGGTAGGCAGACTTTATGAATTTAACCGCAGTACTAGAATCCCACCTGGATTCAGCATCGGCGGCTACAATCTTAACATAAGATAAGCAGATGACACAGTACTGATAGCAGACACGGAAAAGAAATTACAAAATCTCCTACAGATGGTATCGAAGGAGAGCGAGAAGAAGGGACTAAGCATAAATTATAAGAAGACAGAATGCATGGTCATCAGTTAAAGGATTAGGTCCAAAATGCGATTTGCAGGTCGGAGACACTAAAATCAAGCAGGCGCGGAAGTTTAAATATCTGGGATGTGTTTTGACGGAGGACGGTAAGTGTGACGTTAAGATCCGGAGACGGATTAGGATGGGCCAGAATGCATTGCCAAAGCCGGGCAGGATATTGCGAGACAGGAGAAAAGAGTACTGAGGTGCTACGAAACGTCTATCCTTCTATACGGCAGCGAATGTTGGACGGTCTCCACAAAGATGAAAAAGAGAATCGAGACAGAAGAGATAAAGTTTTACAGATGGGTACTTAGACTTATTTGGACCGAGCGTGTGAGCAACGATGAAGTTCTGGAGAGGATGCAAACAAGGAGGAAGCTTATAATTAACATCAGAAAGTGGCAGCTGAAATCTCTGGGACACGTAATGAGAAAGGAGGGCCTGGAGAATCTGATAATCACGGGTCGAATAGAGGGAAAGAAAGACAAGGGAAAGCAGCGCGTGACATACCTGGCGGGCTTAAGCAAGTGGACGACAGAACGTGGTCTGGGGGAGGGGTTACAGAGGGAAGTAACTTGCTGAGAGCTGCAAGGGATAGAGGGAGGTGGAGAGCCATGATCGCCTACGTCCTGAAAGGACATGGCACATAAAAATAATCCGCTTCCCTGATATGTGAGAACATAAAGCCGTAATCCCTTATCCGCGGTTTTAATGTCCAGTGATATCAGTTAACCGCGGTAAAAAAAAAAAAAAAAAAAAAAACAGAAATTAACAATTTGGGAATTTTGCATAGAAAATGATCATTTTTGGGCTTTTGAGATGATCTGAACGAAAGGATTCACTTTCTTCAGAAGGGTAAATGAATCTTGCCGGGATGTAGTGGTCTCTGTGGCCTACCGGTCTAAAGAACAATGATGGGGAAGGAAGGCCTGGAGAATCTGATACTCACGGGTCGAATAGAGGGAAAGAAAGACAAGGGAAAGCAATGGTTGACATACCTCGCGGCCTTATGCAAATGGGTGACAAAACGTAGGCTGGTGGAAGTGGCACAAGGACAAAACTTATTGAGAGCTACAATGGATAGAGGGAAATGGGGAGCCATGAACCTGGTATATAATGTTTTATTTTAACCTGATTCTTCTCAGCTAGATGAATCGTTCCAAATGAGGGGTAAGAATCAAGTCAACATCTAAATCTTCTACAAGAATAAGCTGGTTCTCTGGGTCGTGTTTCATCAAAATATTAGGTTGGTGCAAAAATAATTTCGTTTTCTCACATAGTAACGTATTTTATAAAAGGAAATTATTTTTGCACCAACCTAATATGTCTAGCAGTTCTATAAATCTGTCATTCGTCCATACGTTGAATAATGTTACTGTTGTGCACTAAATTGGAAACTTTGACATATATAGAAAATGAGAAATAGTTTATTTCCGAGAATTTCGTATCAAAACGGATTTATTAATCCGACAGTTTTATCTCAGTTTTATTTGAGTATGTACCCCATTTATATATTAAACGGTGTATTTATTTATTTTCATCTACCAGCATGAGATTTCGAGAAAACTTATTGAAAAAAAAATTGGGCTCGTCAGGAGAAATCGAACCTGAATACCTCAAGGTATAGAGCGCTATCGTATAGCCCGGTGGGCTTCTGAAGAGAAAAGCGAAGTCAAATTAAATGCTTTCAAGCGAAATTTCTTTTGTCAATGATTTCACGAAGTTTTTCATGTCTGCATGTCATTTCATATGCAAACGTAAACATTTTGATTAGAAACGTAAACATTTCGATTAGAAACGTAAACATTTCGATTAGAAACGTAAACATTTCGTAACCCAACCGACAACTTTTCGTATCCAAACGTAAACGTTTTCGTATGCAAACGTAAACGTTTCTTATGCAAACGTAAATATTTCGTATCCAAACGTAAACACTTTCGTATGCAAACGTAAACATTTCGCATGCAAACGTAAACATTCCGTATGTAAACGTGAACATTTTGTGTGCAAACGTAAATATTTCGTCTGCAAACGTAAACATTTCCTATGCAAACGTAAACATTTGGTATGTAAACGTAAACATATGATGTACAAAGGCAAACATTTCATATGCAAACGTAAACATTTCGTTTCCAAACGTAAACATTTCGTATGTAAAAGTAAACATTTTGTGTGCAAACGTAAACATTTCGTATGCAAACAAACAATTCGTATGCAAACGTAAACATTTCGTATCCAAACCATAAACATTTCGTATGTAAACATTTTGCGTGCAAACGTAAACATTTCGTGTGCAAACGCAAACATTTCCTATGCAAACGTATACATTTCGTATCCAAACGTAAACATTTTGTGTGCAAACGTAAACATTTTCGTATGCAAACGTAAACAATTCCTATGCAAACGTAAACATTTCGTGTGCACACGTAAACATTTCGTAAACAAACCATAAACATTTCGTATGTAAACGTAAACATTTTGTGTGCAAACGTAAACATTTCGTGTGCAAACGTAAACATCTCCTATGCAAACGTAAACATTTCGTATCCAAACGTAAAAATTTTGTTTGCAAACGTAAACATTTCGTATGCAAAAATAAACATTTCCCATGCAAATGTAAACATTTCCAAACGTAAACATTTCTTATCCAATCGTAAACATTTCTTATGCAATCGTAAACATTTCTTATAAAAACGTAAACATTTCGTATCCAAAAGTAAACAAAGAGGATGGCTGAATGATACTATTCTTAACCTGCTGAGGGATTTGTATCACTTTAAACGTTCGTATTCGTGGAAACTCGTATCTGAGTCGACGCCCCATCTGTACATTAAACAGTATATTTATTTATTTTCACCTACCGGCCTGAATTTTCGGGAAATCTTAAAAAATAAAAACTTGATCTCTTCGGCAGGAATGTAGCCTGCGTCCCTCAGGGTAGAGTGACCCAACTTTTAGCCCGAGTATTCAATAGTAATAACTTTTAATGACATAATAATATATATATATATATATATATATATATATATATATATATATAAAGAGAAAGAAGAGTGAGATAAACAATCCTCAATTCTTTAGCGTTTATTTTTTTTTAAAAGTGCTCGGTAAAAAGTATATCATAATATTATAATACTAATATTAAAGATATTTTTAAAAAAAATATTTTATCATCGCGACACGGAAATTTCTGTTTCGGAACTGAAGGTTAAAATTATTTTGAAGATTTTGAATAACCTCAGAAAAAAATTTGAATCATTTTTTCTCAAGTTATACAAGATAGCTTGAAAATGGAACAATAATTTTAAACTTCAGTTACGAAACAGAAATTTCCGTGTCGCGATGATAAAATATTAAAAAAATATATTTTAAATAATAATATTATAATTTGTATATATATATATATATATATATATATATATATATATGTGTGTGTGTGTGTGTGTGTGTGTGGGGGTGTGGGTGGGTGTGTGTGTCTGTGTGTGTCTGTGTGTGTAGCTGGCCCCTCGTATTCGATGA